GACCCTCAGTTCAGACCTATTAGCTGGCTAACTGTGGCACATATTATCAAGCAGATGAAGGAATATGCAAAGCGCTGAAAAATAGCATTGATAATCATACTACTACCAAGTTTTCAAAATTACTAAGACTTTCACAGCCACTGCAGTTGTTTATTTTGATCTCAATGCAGAATGTATGTACTTCGATTTAGAATGTAGCTGCTTAAGGACTTGTCACTTCCAAGACTTGTCAAAACAACAGACACCATTACTTGTCAAAAAACTATAGCACTTGATGATTTCAAATTTCTATTCTGTTTTTAAAGATGTTATTATTATATGTCTAATTTCAAGGATACTCACATCTGTCCTGTTTCTAAGACTGATCTTAATCATAGATTACAGAAAAATTCATTATTGAATCAGAGGAAACAGATTACAAAATTTGATTTTCAAGCGATACTATTACTTACTGTCCAACAACTATAGTACTTAATAATTTCAAGCTTCTGGTCTAATTTTTTGAGATGTTATTATTATATGTCATGTTTCTAATTGATTGATCATAATCATACAACATTAAAAAAAATAGAGGAAATTTATTTTAAAGCGATAGCACATTTTTCTCCAGATCATAAAGCGAGCATTGTTCATCTGCTTCTGTTGAATTTTTCCCAAACGAAGAACTTTACCACCAACAAACTCATAAATATTGTAAAAACCTTGTATAGTAGTATCTCACCTGAGTAGTATGTATAAATGGAAAATAAGTAAACAAACTTGTCATCTATCCCTTCGATTGGCAAATATTATCAAGCAGATGAAGGAACATGCAAAGCGCTGCAAAATAACATTGATGATCATATCTTCTACCAAACTGTTACTGACAGATTGTGCAATTATTCTTTCACGTTTAGCAGTTCATCAGCTTAAATACGATAAATATCATTGAAAGACGTTATTAATGCCAAAGATCAATTCCTGAGGAGAGCAGAAATCCACAACATAGCAAGACTTTGTACTTATAGCAGTGTACAGTAGTGTATAGTATTGTCTAGTGACACCCGGTGCCGAGTGTTTACAATTTTTCGGTTCAGACGAAGTGCCTCAGTGTATATCTATCGTGATAACGTATTTCATCTTTTAAGAAGATCGTGAGGTATCCTTATTAGGGAGATATTGCAAACATCTGCCTTATTAGTGCAGACCTTATTTTGACATCTACGCATGCGCACATACAATTCTGTATCTATGAGGAATTAATAGGGATAAGGCACGTCCTTATTTAAGCTATAATAGGGGGAGCTTATTTAGGCGTTCTTATGTCACGACGATTCACGATCTAAGCAAATCGGGTGTCGTCGCAAGCCTATTTAACCTATAAATTTGTACTCTCAAAATTCAACGATTGCTGAAGCGTTTTGGTAACTATGAATATGGATAAAAAGAGAATAAGGTTCACGTATGACGACGAAATGATTTTGCTGCGTGAATTTATTGCACAAAACCCTATCCGTTCTCCTGAGAAGTGGGACTCAATCTTACAGAACTTGCGAGAGCTTACGGGAAAAGAATTATTTTGAGAACAATAAAAAAGCATCTGAACCATCTTCTGGAGCTGTTCCTCAAAAAGGAGGTTAACAGCAAAGTCAAGTAAGTATAAGATAGCACACTGTACCTACATGTATTTTAATAACAAGAGAATGCTTAATGTAAGACTTGGTGAAACAACATTTGTGTTTGACAGGTCTGGCATAGAAGAAGTCTATAATGAAAGAGAACATATGCTCCAAGAAGCCAGCGAGTTAATGAAAGAGACCTGCTCAACTACACCAGCAAAAAAGAAAAAAGTGGAAAACAAAGCGAAAGATATGATTGAAAAGACACGCAATGAAAGAGAGGCTATGGCACTGCTGGCCTTTTGATGTGGATGACACTTTAATCGACCATGATTACGGTAAAATAACTATTCTAAACATTTTTTATACATATTACTATATTATCACAGTTTTAGGTGTTTGTGTTACAGTCGACGTTGACACAGAAAATAATAATAAGTCTGTACAAGATGTTGGAACTGCAAAACAGATATCTGTACAAGATGTTGGAACTGCAAAACAGATATCTGTACAAGATGTTGGAACTGCAAAACAGATATCTGTACAAGATGTTGGAACTGCAAAACAGATATCTGTACAAGATGTTGGAACTGCAAAACAGATATCAGGTAAAACAATGATTAGAATTACTGCTTGAATCTTCAGTAATAGAAACACTAAAACAGATCCACAGGTTATGGAGTATGACCAGTAAATAAAACCAGTGCTCGATATAAAATGTGTAGGTACTTATGTTATATACTTTGATAAAAGCCAGTGCAATGACTAACCTGTCAGTGAACTTCTTTTGTTTAGCACTGCGGTTTTATTTACAGGCCAGACTAACCAATAGTGGATCCAGATGACTACAGCGTATATAGCATTGCCATGGCATCCCATTCAGAGGGCTACTACTAGATTAAGTAGTTTCTAGTATGTTATACATTACCTATAAAACAGAAAGCTCAAAACTACCTCTTACATTTCATGTTCAAGATTAAATACATTTGTTTATTGTTGCTGTTACTTACTTTTCGATCATTACAGCCCCCCGTACCAAAAGGATGAACAAAAGTAAAACATTGAGAAAAAATGGCCTTGATTACCTACGAGAAAAAGCGGAAATATCACGAGAAATAAGATCTGCAGAACTCAAGTTAGAAGAACAAAAAATGGATAATGAAAAAGAAAAAATTGCAAATGACAAAGCAAGACTTGCCTTGGAGTCTAAAAGGCTTGAGGCAGAAATTCAAGAAAAAAAACATAGGATAGAGTTAGAACAAAAGAAATCTGAGCAAGATGTCGCTGAAAGAAAAAACTTGAGTGACCTCATCAAAACACAACAAAAGCTATTGAAGCATTACTGACAAAACTTGATAATAGATAATTTGCCATTAAAAAATAATATACTGGCCTTATATTGAAATAATAATGTTGATGCTAAGGATGGTGAGCACAAACCAAGTTTGTTGCCGAAATATATGAAATTGATTCTGCAACTGGTTCCATGTATGAACATAGTAAAACTGTGTAACTTCAGGATCAAACATATTTCATCCACAACTCCTGAAGAAGTTGATTTCATATATTTTCAGCAACATACTAATTTAGTTTTGAAATCTCTTATTGGGTGCTTGCTGCCCTTATGGTTGTAAAATAAATAAACATACATTCCAAACAAGCTTTATTGGTCTTACAAGTCTATAAAAAAATTACAAATTATCATCAAGCGTTACAAGTTAGAAACAACCCAAAATTTAGATGTAAAAGATGGCTAGCGCCATCTAAATTTGCGCTAGAGATAGTTTCTTTGCAAGTTTCGTCAATGACGACGCAGGCAAAGCAGAAACCCCTTACGATTTCTGGTCGCTGACTCAGATGAATTGTACAGAGTACAGATACCCCGGTACCAACCAACAGTAGCCGGCCACCAGAGTCGTAACGCAAGGCTTCACAGGACAAACTAACAATAGCATTTTCTGCAGAACATGCAATAATATAGTCTGATATACTCGTTTGCTTTCCATTGCAAAGAAACTAGTTCTAGCGAAATTTAGATGGCGCGAGCCATCTTTTACATTTACCGTCTTCCCGCTATTTGATAGACCACATTCGCTTGTTTACTTTCCATTTGTCCGCCTTCACGGCTGGACCTGATACAGACCTATACCATACTGATGAGGGCTAAAGAGCCCGAAACAGCGCTGTCTGCGGTTGGTCTTGGCTGCGGCGATGGAAAGCAAACGAGTATTTCAAACCCAAAATGTCCTCTATTTATCAGTGGCCTATGTAGGTCTCAAGTGAAGGTGGATTGTATTGAAATACATAGCAGTCTGACTACTATACAGGCATGTATGGCAGTTAGTAAGTAGTACAGCCACCTTGTATAAAGCATCAACGTCTTGAAGTAGCATTTTTTGGTTTTTTGAAAAATCTACAAAGGCAAATTCTGATATGACTTTCTGAAAACCCATTCTACTACGCTATCCTTAGAACTTTCATAGCAGAATTGAAACTCTGCTGATGGGCAGGTAAATCTTCCATTCTGCCATGAATGGGTAAATAGCACATCACTCAGCCCATATCCTTGATCACCAAATAAAACAACAAATCGTCTTGTGTCAAAACATGTCTTTTGCACTAATTCTTCAGAGATACCTGACTCCCTAAATATTCTGGCATCATGCCTTCTTCCCGGATAGCGCCTTTCAAACTAACAATATTCCATCAGGACAAATTATTGATTGGAATTTTATGCAGTGATACCTTTTGTGTCCTGAAATATACCTTCTGATTTTCAGAGGGTCGACAAATTTTCCTTGCTGTACCATCGATGAAACCCCAACAATTATTCATAGGTGCTCCTTTATTATGAATAGCCTACAAAAAGCACATTCAGCATTTTATGAACCAACCATCACTTCAACTATTACACAATACACTACCTGTGCATAATACTCCAACTTCTCCCTATTAAACCACGCAATGAATTCAAATGTTGAGAAGTACAGCATGCTCCTCCATAATCAACACTTATAATTTATGATTTGTGACAAAGACTGAGTTGACAAGTGGAAATAGGGACCATATCACACAATCTGTTGGATATGCCAGCCGTCTTAGTAGAATGCACAATGCTGTTAAACCTGAAAGAAGATAAATGGAACTTATACTGTGGTTTTCATGTTGATAGAATTCCAGCCTTGGCAAGTGTTTTTTGGTCAGAGGATGGAGTTCGATTGAAATGATGAACATATAGCAATAAAATATTTAAACAAATCATACCATCCACTTTATTACGTGTGATAGTGACAATTTCGAAGGTATTCGTAAAACGCCATCAGCCTATGAAGGTCAGACCTCTCAAATCGAAAATTTAGTCTTATTACTTCATCTGGCAAGTTTTCCAAGTTGAATTGTGCTGTATGAGTAATGCCTCTATCAATAAATATATTATGGAGGAGATATGTTCTATTCCTCCTCATCTGCTCCTGCCAATATAACTGCTTCCAATTCAGCTTCCATTTTTACAATCTCACTTCTCACACCTTTGGTAGAATTTCAACTACGAACCACCTATATTATGCAAGCAAAAACTGGAAGGAAAAGTGAGGTTAAGATAAACACCATCAAAGCGAACTGTCAAATACGTTACATGTGCAATAGCTCTAATTCCACTGTACTTATTTAGGTTCACCTAAATAATGCATACCTTATTTAGGTCCATATGCAATATCTCTATTAATCGTCAGCAGATTTAAATAAGGTAAGAATAATTTTCATTCCTGTCAAATCATAAAACATTTACACTGAAGATAGAAGGTGCTATCCTTAGGCGAACACGGTTGAGATATGTCAAGTGTCAAGCGCCATTTTTTGTAAGTGCGGTAGCTAGACATGCGACGGTTGCCGGATCCTCACATAAATCGGAGTTTGTCATACAATTTTATAGAGGGCGTTAATGCTATATCGAAGATTTTATATGCCATTGTGTTATTTATGGTGACACATGCGACGTTGCCGGCTCCTCACATAAATCTGAGTTTATCATACAATTTTATAGAGGGCATTAATGCTATATCGAAGATTTTATAAGGCCATTGTGTGCTATTGATGGGACACATGCGACGTTTGAAAAAGAAAAATGAATGAATAATGAAAATGCAAATGAAAATGAAAAATGAAATAGAAGAATGAAAATGAAAAATAAAAATGAAAAACGAAGAACAAAAAACGAAAACGGAAAACGGAAATCGTAGCAGATTTTAAATAAGGAAATAAAAAATCAAAATCAAAATCAAAAATCAAAAAAATCAAAAATCAAAAATCAAAAATCAAAAAATCAAAAAATCAAAAAAAAAATCAAAAAATCAAAAAATCAAAAATCAAAAAATCAAAAATCAAAAAAATCAAAAAATCAAAAAATCAAAAAATCAAAAATCAAAAAATCAAAAAATCAAAAATCAAAAATCAAAAAATCAAAAAATCAAAAAATCAAAAAATCAAAAAATCAAAAATCAAAAAAATCAAAAAATCAAAAAATCAAAAATCAAAAAATCAAAAAATCAAAAAATCAAAAATCAAAAAGTCAAAAATCAAAAAAAAATCAAAAAAATCTAAAAATCTAAAAATCTAAAAATCTAAAAATCGAAAAATCGAAAAATCGAAAATCGAAAAATCGAAAAATCGAAAATCGAAAAATCGAAAAATTAAAAATTAAAATAGAATAATTAAAAATGAAAAATGAAAACTGATAACCAGATACCAGACACC